CTGAGACTGAACTAATTTTCCTGCGGAGCATGACAGGCATGTGGACGCCACTTCACATGGCAGCAAGAGCAGCAGCCTGCGAACCGTGGAAGCAGCTCTAACCTCTTTGGAAAATACTAGAAATCCCAAGAGAAGAGTCTGTGAAGAGTCTTTAGCCCTTTGGGCAAATGGTCCTGTGTGAATTCCCAACACGTGTATTTCGAGATTATCGTTGCACGAAGCTGGGACGTGATTTGGTTCCTAGTTTATCTGAGTACTACCAAAAGATGAAACATTGCATAACTCTCCAAAACTGTATTTCTCTGTGACGCAATCCTTAGAGAAGTGGAAGCAAGCACACTGCTACCTCGGCATGGTTCTTCCTTTAGGGCAATTACATTGCCACCTCCAAGAAATGGGTCTGAGCACTGAAATGACAGACACTAGAAAGAGCTACTAAAATTTGCAGAAGAATACCGATTTGTTTGTCCGACAAAAGGACCACACTCCTGGAAAACCTCCATCCTGTACGCTTAGTTGCATAGCAAAGGAACAGCCGAGAGTTAGGACTAGGGCAGTGGGAACATGACCTCCTCCACACCATTAGAGTTAAGAGACCTGAAGGTACGGAAGGAATGGGAATGGTGTCAAGGAGCAGAGCCCACACAGCCCATCACAGGACTTTAGGTGTAAATATTCCAATCAGTCCATAATACAATTGATTATTTTTTTTAAAATACTAATTATATGAACCAGAAAATCAACATTTTACTTAATCACTGTGACCACTGCTAAGTGATAAGGTAACATTGCTGTGAGTTGAATATTCCTGTTTGTTCAGCTCATTACTGACCAACTGGTCTGACTAAAGCATACATTGCATTAATATATAGCGCCTAAATAGCCTTTCAAAAATGGCCCTGGGGAGCACTGCTACCTATGAGCAGAATAAATGTTGTCTTTGAGAATAGACATGATCCAGTGAGAGGGAGCAGAAGATTAGACGCGTTTAGTGGTGGCCTGGCAGAGTGGCTGATGCAAAGAGCGGCAGAGCCTCAGCCCAGAGGTATGTGAGCAACCTCTGTGCCAGCAGAAAGCCCTGAGGTACAGATGGGAAAAGTGCCAGGTCCTGCACATGGGCCGGGAAAAGCCCCTGCCCTGGTACGGGCTGGGAAGCTGCTGGGTGAGGAACAGCGCTGCTGGAAAAGACCTGGGGATTACAGCAGATGCCTGGCTGAACACGAGCCAACAGCATGCTCTCGTCACCAGTAAGGCAAACCACATACTGGGCTACGTTAGGATGAGGGAAACTGTTACCCTCTTCTAACTCAGCGAGACCTGGAGGCTGCATTCAGCTTTACTGGCACAGGGGTAGGGCCCTCCTGCAGCTCAAGAAGGACATATAGAGACACCAGAGAGGACCCGGTGAAGCGACACCAAAATGGTCAGGAGCTCTGGGCCCCTGACCTACAGTGAGAGGCTGGAGGAGCTGGGCTTGTTAGCCTGACAAAGAGGAGGCCAAAGGGTGACCTAAGAGCTGCCCACAACTATCTGAAGGGCAGTTACAGAAATGCCAAAACCAAACTCTTGCCAGCAGTACCAGAAGATAGAAACAAGTTGCAGTGGCCACAAACTGTGGCTTGGGAGACATAGGTTGGATATTAGGGGAAAAAAAATCACTAGGAAGGTAGTGTAGTACTGGACTAGGTTACCCAGGCAGGTTGAGGAGCTTCCATCCTTATTTTTTTGAGGATTCAGTTACACAAAACCCAATCTAATGTTGGTGATAGCCCTTCTCTGGAGGTCGGACTAAAAGACAACAGAGTTCTCTTCCAACATTCCCCCATTTCTGTGATCTTAAATTCAGGCCAGTGCACGTCTTCAACATTAACTTGGTGAGATTTCAATATACCCTGAATTGCTTTCCTTAAAAGGACTTTCTTTCTGAACTGGGGGTCTTCATACAAAAGTGCAATAGAAGAAAACTACCATTTTTTAGGGATTTCTTAATTCCACTTCTTTAAAATGCAAATGCTATTCACTCTGCTGTCTGCTGGAGAGACAGCACATTCAAAAATAGCATCACATGGGATCCCATCAAAGATTTATAATATCACCAGGAGTCTCCTCTGTATGAAGAGATTTCTTGGAACAGGAAAATAGAGTACCGCAAGTTATGTCCCATATCATGATGTGGTATCTATCATATGAACAGAAAACACGTTCTGCAGTAAAACCTGCAGCCTGTAAAAATGGCGTCGACAGTAGATTTGCTTTCCCTTAAAATCAAAAGCCATCTTCTCAAAACTAACACATAAAAGAAATTTAACAATTTTTGTTAGGATCTGTTTTGACAACATAACATTTCACATACAGATTAAACTTAGTGTGTGTAAGTATGTGCTTGCGTCTGTATGACAGGTCACGTGTGTGACCATGTTTCTTCCTCTCCGCGCTGAGCAGAGGAAACTGGTGTGTGTGTGTTTGTGCGTGTACGATCACAGGCTTCTTCCTCTCTGCATGGCAAAGAGGAACCGCAAGCTGGGCTCGACAGCCTGCGTCTTACAGAGCCCGCTTCCATCTTCACCCGGGAGCAGACACCGCAACTTTGTTGAGGCTTTGCCTCTCGGAGACGTCAGTCCCTTCGCTCACAGATAAATACCGTAACAGGATACCGCTATCACCTGCTCTGCTCCTTAACAGAAGATCTGCACCCTCTTGCCCGACTTCTCTGACAATCTCGCAGGGAAAAAAGCAACAAATCTCTTTAACTGACAATATTTGTACTCCAAGCTGCTGTTAGCACAGGTGTTTTGTGGTATTTCTATTTTTGACAGTATAGGCTTCACACAGATGAAAAGGGACACCTGTATTCTAAAAAAATGCCCATAGGAGTAGATGAGGGTGAAGGCAAGTTCATTTTCCATAAGTGCTTCTTTTTGCAAGGTTCGTATCATTTCATTAGGCAAAAGAAGCAAAAGGGCAGTGCAATTGGTGGCAAAAATCGGTAACGTATTCTTTCTCGAAGGCAAGTACAAGGGTGATTTCTGTTAGCATTAATGGACTGAAGTTCAGTAGGTAAGGTCATACAATTAAATATGTTGTTCTTTAAAGTCCTTGGAAATTAGTTACATTGTTATGATATCTAAAATATATACTTGCTTTTATTTAGATAGAAAACTGACAGAAAGTAGGGAGTTATTTGCAGGAAAGCCGCCTCTATAATTTTAGTATAGCTTTTTTACTAACTAGATACTATGGGTTCCAATCCTGATATACCTCTTCATGATTAACAAAACTCTGCTAAAGCCCTGGAAAGATTCGCCTGTGATTTTTAACCCCAGCTCCAAAACTGTCCATAGCCTCGTACCGCTGTGCTCAGACTGGGCGCCTGGTTACATCATCCCGTAAAGAAGAACACTCTCCAGCTGGAATGCTTTCTAGCTATAAATCCTTTATTACTGTCATATTAACAGCTACAGCTACTCTACATGCAAGCGGTGTGCATGCAATGCAAAATAATCAGACCAAACCAGAGCTCTTGTTTCCTTGGCTTCTTTTAGAACTGCGTCTTCACTAGAGGCCTTAATTGATGTTAAACTGACGATGTGCCGACACAGCGATCATTTACGTAGTTCAGGAGTGCCGTCTCTGTGGGTGCTATTTCCATCATGCCAGAACAGAGCTGCCCCTGTGCGCACGGCCATATCGACACGCTGCAAAGTAAAACCCCACGTAACGAGTCAAACAAGCTACACCAGTCGATGCACAGTTTTGACAGCACATCAGGGCTCTCTGCCAACACATCTCTGTTGGTCTGGGAACATCTTCCCACAGCCGCAGTGTACACACAGCTCTGGCTCAGCTGCGTTTGCAGGCAAGCACACGCCGAGTTCAGCACATTTTGGGACAGCGTAGCCAAACAAGATGGACCCGTGTCCACGCTCATCATTAAACTAAGTTCTAACAATGACTGTGGTCACAAGCGCGGTCAACAGCGGGTTGTCCTGCTGCTGTTGCCAAGAGGCTGGCCATTGCAGCCATGCCGCCGAGTCCGGCTGCAGTCGTGGGCTCTGGGGCGGCTGCGCGGCATCCCGGCCGGCTGGCTGAGACACCACGCCGCAGCTCTTACCGGCTAATCGAGACTAGGACACAGAGAAAACGCCAAGGATGGAGGGGTGGGGTTAACCCCAGCCCTTTCCCGTGTTGGGTGTCTAACAAGTGCCAGCCCCTGATGAGCCCATGGCTCTCGCTCAGCCTGGGGGCCGTCGCCTGCAGCCACGCCAGGCAGGGGGACAGGCAGCAGGGTGGGTGCCGCCGGGCAGGGGGGCGAGCGGAGCATCAGCCAACCCACCCTGCCAGAGCGGGAACCGCCACGGCATGACATCCACCAGGGTGGCTTTGGGGGGAAGTGTGCCCGGAAGGGACGAGGGGGAACCGGAGACGACACCCCTCAATGCCAAGGTAAACATTAACCTCTGACCAAAAATGTGGTCAGTTCAGTTGGAGATAGATTGAGCTTTGAGTGTTTATTGGTTTTCCTCTAATAGTAGTATTTAGCAATGCTTTTTTAGAGCTGCCAAGGCTCTGGGTTCCTAATACATCTCTGGTGTAATGCTGCTTGCCTCACTGCAGTTACACCGGAGATGAATTTGGCCCTTTAATTGTTTGGGGTTGCTGATTACTCTGGGCGTGCTGCTTGCTCGGCAGATTTTCTGGAGGACTGGAATTTCTTGTGGAATTCTGTTGTGTGAGGCAATGGCTGTGTGGGCAGCGAGTCCTCTTCACCCTCGGTCTGAGCACAGCTATTAGAGGATGTGCCTTTGACTTTGTTGCTGAATCGGTAATCACCTCTTCGTCTCTGCCTCCTTCAGGCTCACTTTTCTGCTCATCACTTCCAGTTTGTGACTACAGAAAAAAAGGACTCATGACTTTCCCCTGAATGTAAATAGGCTATTTTCCATTTAACTGATATTCCTGTTAATAGTATTTTGTAACAAGGCAATCAGTAGAAGTGAGTAATGTATGTTTTTTTGTTGTTTTTTTTTTTTGCCACAGATACTAATCTAATACTGATCTAATACTGCTGGAGTGAAGAAAAGCACACCAGGCAGTGAGGGAAGCCAGTGGCACAAAGACAGCATTTGCTGTCCAGAAACAGAGATCCTCAGTCAAGGGCCCAAATTCTCAACCCAGTGGGAAAAACTTTCCTTTACAAACATTTATACTGGCAGCTCTCAACATGACAGTTTCGTAGTCTGAAATACAGACAGAGTCGTTATCAACAGCCTCACAAACAAGAGTGAAGTAGAAACGCAAAAGAGATCTGAGGGTCACTGATCAGAGAAGGAACGGAGACAGTGAATATCAGAGCTAGAGAGCGAGAGAAAGCGGGCTGAGGAGGTGGAGGAGGAGGAATTCTTAGCAAGAGAATTCGAAAAGGACTGGGGCAAAAAGTAGAACTTCAGACATCTGGGTAAACACAAAACGTCAAACTTGGAGAAGGTCTCCTTTCGTAAAAGAGAAAGTTTGCAGTTTCTCTTTCATTTTAACAGTCCAGATGTACTTATTGTTCACATTTTGTTGTCCTTCTTTCAGTAACTATGCTACTCATAAAAAAATTCAATAGATAGATATAGTGTATATTTAAAACTATTATTAATTACATGTATTAATTATTGTTTCTTTATGTGGGCTACCTTGATTCTGGGCTGGGACTCAACTGTGCAATGCTCTGTGTGTGTATGATGCTCTGTGTAGGGGACAGCCCTTGTACCCGTGAACCTGTGCGATGGCCAGTGACAGTGTGAAGCTCACCCTAAGTGAATATGCACTTCAGTACTCAACTACATACACGGATTCAGGTCTAACAAAAAAAACTTAAACACATGCTGAACACTAAGGTGTGAGTGACCGTTGAAATGTAAAACGAGCACTTACATGTCTTGCCAGACTGCAGCCCTCTTGATCAACGCTTTGTTTGAACTAGAACAATACACACAACTGACAGTTACGCACATTGTAGTCGTCTGCTTCTAAGTCTGAGAATACAAACTGGGGCAAATACAGTATGATCTTATTCCCAAAAGGTAAGGAAGTATTCTTCTGGCATACATGAGAAGCAGATAGAATAAACATGAATGTAGTTTGTGGGTTTTTTAAAAGTACATTACAATAGTTAAAAAATTGCTACGTGGTAAAAATTAGTTCTAGTGCTATACAGAATTGCTCAAAAAGACGGTTCAAGTGGCATTATCTACTGAATCAGTGGTTGGTCCAATAAAAGATACTACCTCACCTTTCAAACCTTGTTCTTTAATATTCTTAGACTGTCTGAGCTACTTACATCATCACCACCACCACTAAAAAGGGAGGTGTCAGTGTTTAATGTCACTTTTAAGAAATACAGTTCGCTTCTCTCTGTGAGTAAGCTTAAAGGTAACAGAATCATAGCCCCTACAGCACACCAGTTCACCCTTCTTCCTGGCCAAATTCCTTCAGTCTCTAAGACAATCTACTCTGTATATTTGTTAAATTTTTAAGTAGTGTTCCTTTAACATTACAAACACCAGAAGGATTAAAAGGATAATTAAGGATAAGGAGATAATCTCTTGCCTTTCAAGGTGATAAAGATGATCTCAGAATAAATACCAGTAAACTAAACCCAGGGTATTTTAGAAGAAAAATCAGCAGTATTATGGAATTCAAAAGAGTAAGTGATATTACTTATTTAGATATCTTGGGATTTCCAGGCCTAAATTGCAGCCAACATATGGCAAGTCTGAACGAAAACTGGGCCAGTATGAGGATGCTGATGCAACAGCATTTTACAGGTGAAGTGGTGGAGTCACCCATGGAGATGTCTAATATTTATTCAGTTGAACAGCCCGATGATTTCAGGATGGCAAAACCCCAGCAATTTTCTTATGTCTACACATCCCAGGCTGGAATTTGTCTTCCCAGACCTGGTACTTCAGATTGCAACTGCTCTATAAAATACGGCCAGACTGTTGTAGGGGGAGCTTTATTGGAAGGAGCCATTACTGACTGAATTGACAATTATTATCTGGTGTGTAAGAATCACAGAATCACAGAATTTTCAGAGTTGGAAGGGACCTCTAGAGCTCACCTAGTCCAACTCCCCTGCTAAAGCAGGATTGCCCAGAGCACATTACTCAGGACTGCATCCAGGCGGGCTTTGAAAATCTCCAGAGAAGGAGACTCCAGAGCCTCCCTGGGCAGCCCGTGCCACTGCTCTGTCACCCCAACTGTAAAGAAGTTTTTCCGTGTGTAAGGATAGGAAAATTTTCAGATGATGATGGAATTACTTTCTCCTGGACGCTGCACATTTTAAATTAGTTTTGAACATATTAAGATAAATGATGCTACCAATAGAAATGCAACAAAAAAATTTACTACAAATCTTACGAGAGTTCCAGTTTTGCAAATTCAGCGAGTGCAGACAAATGTAAAAAAACCTTGTGATTTTTAATTTTTATCAGAGCACAGTATCTCAAGGTGTGTCCATCCCTTGCAACAGATCATAGAACAGACACAGTGAGCAAGCCGGGATGTACAGACACTAGTCTTGATAAATAGCAAAGGTCTAGTTTCAGTTTTATTTGTGTTCTTTTTCAAGCAAAGGTGGCAAGTAACTGGAAGATAAAGTAGATTTGTTTAAACATGAAGTAATTATACTGATTAAGATACTGAAAATTATTTGTATAATTTTTAAACTGCCAGGATTTAGAGTACAGATATTGCATTGGCCATACAGGAAACTTACTTGATCTGTTTTTAAATCTGTGTTTCAGGGACTTTGATGAGAGTATGGCTTAACTTATTGGTAACACACTAAAACTAGGAAGTATAAAAACTAATTATTTGCTGGTTTCTTAGTAAAATGAGGTAAAAGTGTTTTCTGTTACTAGACAAAGTCAGATTAAATAGACATAAAAGACTTTGGTCTTCCCTGACTGTAGTCAAAGTAAAAATTATTAACATGAAAGGCAGTAATATCAAATCTATGATCTTGAAAGGAAATAATAGTGGTATTGCATCTGTAGAATAACAGGAACATGCTTTGAATGCTGGAATACACACTGCATTTTGTTTACACTTAGAAGAATGAATTACTGCAATATTTGCATAGTGTTCAGTTCTGTTTAATTACAGCTGTCTGCGAGGAAGAGTTCAGTGGTGTAGACACCAGATTCAAAACAGATTTCTTTCTAGAGCTGTAAAGTCAAATTCCAGTGAGACGGACACAGACTTTCATCCATATGAAGGAGAAGATTGTTTCAGACAGTCTAATACATGACGCCTTTTCGTCTTCCTCCCCTTTGGAGACATTAAAGGAATGGTGATGCCTCGTCTTGTCTCCTTGGCTGTTGAAGATCCCTTAGGCCGTAGTTCACAAGAGAAGGGAGGCAGCTTCACTAGGAACATCCTCACCCCCGCCATACTGAACGTGGCCCAGAGACACCTCCTTTTCACCAGTGACACGCTCCTGGTGTGAAATACAGAATATTAGATGTACGTATGATCGCCTGCACAAACGGTGCACAAAGCAAAAAAAGAGATAGAACACCTGATGAGAAGACAGACTCGAGAAGCGTGCAACGAAGCGCGAGCCGCCGCGAGCCGCTGCCCACCCACGGCCTCGGCCTCCACCCACAGCCTCCCCCTCCCTCCGGGCTGGTTTGAGGACACAGGTCTTTTGAGGCAGGAGTTTGCTGCCTGCCCTTGCCTGTGCAGCTCCCAGGGCAGCCACACAGCCG